GCCCACATGCTTTACACTTACTACATTACACTACACACATCACTTTTGGAATCTCTGTGCATTAGATATGCCTTTGTGTTTCGGTGCATCACACACACAATTAAGAATATAAGCAGTTTTAGACATACTCCAAGTGTATACTGAGTAATCTGCATATTAGGGAGCATTACTGAAGGGAGCATTATTGCCCCTGTGTTTGAGATGAAAAGGCACCTTGTCTAAGGGCAGCTAATGAGCACATGGCTAAGATGAGAACTTAGCCAAGAATATTCTGCCTCAGAATCCATTCCTGGAGCTCCTCTGAGGTTCTTCAATTCATTCATATGATTAAATCAGTCAGCTTTAGCAGCTTCAGCATCTCTTGCATGGGTGGATCCATATCACCAGTTTCTTCCACTATCCACACAAAAGCAGCCTAGGCAAAACCACCCAGCAAGCTGTTTCAGACTTGGAGACAACTTAAAGGCATCACCAATCTGCCCGTGGGTTTTATTGGATCATCCTCAGGCAACACAGCTCTTGGTTAGCTGGGAATTGCCAGAGTTGTTGGTCCAGCACATCTGGGAAAGGCCATATTGGGAGGGACTGTCAAGGAACAACTGCAGTCTGTCAAGGCCAGACGGAGACATTTTGATGGCTAAGGTCACAAACAAAATGAGCTCTTTTCCACATTAATGAACATGGGTAAATAAAATCTATTCTCCCTTTCTTCTCTCAGGAATGCCTCAAGGAACTTCAGAAAACTCAGTGTACAAGCCATCCCTTAATCAGCATGATCTCTTCTGACCACACATAACAAAAGCTAAAATTTCACAAACTGAGCACATCATTTTCCTCTGGGGAAGCAAAGCACAAATCGTTTACCCAGGGTTAGTTTAGCAGACTTAGCAGCAAGAAGTGTTTGAATCAGTTTTTTATTTTTTAAAGGTTAGTACATACTGTCATCTTTCTACTCTTCCAGTTTTCTATGATGAACATTTTGGTGTCTTCTCTTGTTGAATGATGTGGATTTTATATAGCTCTTTAAGGGGTGGGGGGAGAGAAGCAAAGCGCGCCATGGTTTTTAAAAGGAATCTGAAACCCTTTCAGCTATGGAAGGGTGATGTCTGGGTTAAAAACAGAGAAACTTGCCTTGACCTATTGTTGGAACCTGATACACTTCAAGCAGAATAGATGACCATTTATATCTTTCTGTAGGGTAGGAGTAAAGGCTGTCTGTCTCCTTGGAATACTAACTGTTGCCAGCAAGTCTACCAAATGTGCAGCAACTGAAGCCAGAAGAATTACAGTATGTGCCCTCTTCTCATCCCTCCTCCTCCTCTGTTTTCAGTGCATTTAAAACAGTCAACATCCTTTGCATCACAACTCAGAAAGAAGCCTGTTGAGACCCCATCCACCCCCGACTTTGTGGAAGAACTTCTGAGGATGTAAGAAATTTAAAACATTTTCAAGTGTAGATGAGAAAGGGATCTGAAAAGTTAGAGAGGAGAGGAGTCTGAATCCAAAGTTTCCAAACTAAAGATGGATTCCAAATAGAGTATTATGGAAATCTAAATACCATTAGATGTCCCCAGTCCTTCATTCATGCTCTAAATGGTTTGTCATTCCCCTTAAGAAGCTTAGACCCCCAGGATCTTGGTCATTTGGTTTACTCTTTTCTGAATTATTTCCAGCTTTACAATACATGAGTCCTTTGAACTCTAGATAGATGAGTCTATCAATAAAAGCACCTACTAAAAGTACTTGACTTCTCAATTTTATTATTATTTTTTTTTTTTGCAAAGAAAGATGATGAAACTGATCCAGGATCTAAATTCAACTTAAGGAGACGTCATGCTTTATGTTTTAATGAGACATGACTTCCATTTGCACAAGCCACACTGATTTTATTTTCCACAAGCCCACATGCTTTACACTTCCATATTTAATCATGTTTTCCAGTAATTCATCCATTAAGATGACAAGGAGGATTAATTTTTAATTTGTATGTAATTTGCTTGAAACTTATTTTGTTGTTCCTCCCTAAATTGGTCCTGAGGTTATCCATTCCAGCAGAGATTTCACATCTTCTACAATAAAAACAGGTGTCAAAAGAATTCATCTATTTTAGGAAAAAATATTATACACATTTTTTTTTCACATTGTTTGTAACCTTCTGCACTGGATTCCCTTTTACACAATAATCTCCAAGTAAGGAGGTTTCAATATACAGAATTTGGTACGAATCTGCTAATTTTTCACTCTCCGAAGTGGTAGCTGTTTGATACAGATTATACCGCTCCTGTTCAAACACTATTCCAGGAAAGGGCAATTTAGGACAGAGAAGCAGTAAAACAAGTAGGATCTAACTTTCCCATTGACTAAGACATATGATGACATGGGAAGGGAGGCAATTTGTAGATGAGAAATCAACAAATTTCAGGGAGGGAATCCCAGTTACAGTTACAGTTACAGGAATCCCAGTTACCCAGTTACAGAAACTCAAATTAGAGGCACAGTAGAATCTGTATGAATGCTGAGTTATGGGAACTGCTGAACTGGTTAAAAAAATTGTGGGTATACAAAATAAATAAACAAATAAATAAAGTTAAGTAATCTTTGATTTATATAGTTCTTAGCCCGCATTTTGTTAGCTCTATTTGGGCACTTGAAAAGGAGAACTGCAAAGCTTTCCTGATTGTCTCCACTAAGTTCATTTCAGGTTGTGTGGCTCTGGCAGACCTCCACATATTTAGCAGAGATATATAGAAGAGATTGATGTCATCTGTGCAATATCAGCATGGGGAGACTCGTTGGGGACACTGATGTGATGACTATTTCCACTTTTATAATGTTTTCATAGGCCAAGCATGAAAAACATGGGGGTTAGATGCGCGCACACTGGAAGCTTACATGGAAATACCAGATTTCCCTCTGCTTGAGAACTTAGTGAAGAGACTGAAAACAGTCACAAACCAGGTCAGATTCAGATCTGAAAGAATGTAAGGGTTGGTTCCCAGACTGATCAAGGTTCAGGAGACCATTATGTAAACAGCTAGCTGCAAGCTTCTCTTGATATCATTGAAAAGACAGGAATCACAGGAAGGCAATTAGAAAGAAACTAAAAAACCCTGTGCCTTAATGTATTAGGGGAGAAATTGGTTTTAAATGGGAAATAGTTCAGTTGTTGCAATTCTTGGAACCAAAACACCATCCTCTCCATAAATCTTGCTTGGAAACAATTCTTTTCAGTTGCTATCAGTTTTAAAGAGCCTGACATCTTTCCTATATTTTCCCAATTTGCCAAAATAAAATAAAATATATGTCTGTGTGTGTGTGTGTGTGTGTGTATGTATGTGTGTGTGTGTGTATATATA